CTCGCGCCCGCCCGCCCCGCCAGCTCAGACCCGAAAGCCCGGTCCCAGGTCCACACGACTTACAAGCGCAAGGATTCCACCAGCCAGTCCTCCGCGGACTCCATGGCAACTGTCGCTCAGGTAGCTCACTTCCGCCACCCCACTTCCGCCTCAGAACCTTCCGGGCGGGAGGGGCCTTCTCGCGAGGAGAGGGCGCGTCCTGCTCCGACGCAGGGGGCGTGGCTTCACGCCAGGGGCGGGGCTAGAGTTTCCTGAGCGCCGCCACGTACCCTTGCTCTGCTAGGTTAGGGCTTCTCCGGGCAAAAGTACGTAGAATCAGGGATTCCCGGGATATCAGCTCCGGCCCGGGCCTGAGGGACCAAATACGGTTCGTTTTACGACCGGGTATTTGCAGATCTAGAGGGCCAAGGCCAGATAAGATACAGGACGGCCGGTTAAATTCGAATTTTAGGTAAACAACGGAACGTTTTTTCTTGTATGTCCATGCAATATTAGGCCATCTTATACGAAAAAAAGGATTGCTTATCTGAAATTCGAATTGAACTGGGTGTCCTTTATGTTTTGCTAACTTTGGCAATCCTACGGAAAGCCAGAGAAGAGTGAGAGAGGACAGCAGGGTCTGGATCCCAGCTGGCCCGCACCCTTGTGGGCGCTGGGGGTTTCCCTCAAAGCTTGGCATGAGCATGAAATGAACGGGGTAAGCAAAGCCCCGGGTAATGTAGGTGTAGTGTAGGCAGCTGCCTTTTATGGGCGAGGAAACCTGAGAGACTTGCTTGTGCCAGTAGGTGGCAGAGAAGAACCAATTGCCTGGCACAGGACCTGGTGTACAGCAGGTGTGGAGTACCTGTTTGCTGAATGAGCTAGTGAGGTGTCCTGAGTCAGTGCCAGGCTGGTACCATGGAGTGTTCTGGGCATTTTGGAGCCAACCCCATCTCCAGCCCCCTTCCCCCCACCCCATCCCCTCAAACACACTGGAAGGAGAGGACCAGACATTCTATGTAAAGAGCAGGGTTTTATTCACAACTTCAACAGGGAAGCAAGAAATACAGCAGGAACGTAAGTTGTGTCTGCACTGGTGATATTCCTGGTGACCCAGCCAGAAATCACAGTAATGGAGTAACAGAGATTTGAGCCCAGAATTTACATCCAGATGGGGCCACTACCAGGGTCCCCTTCAGCACCTTCCCGGGGTGCGCACAGTCTAAGCCACGTTGTGTCTTCCTCATTAATGGCATCACTTCTGCAGCGTTTGCACCAGCAGCCTCCTATACTGAAGGGGAACACAGAAGAGCTGACCTGGGCACAGGGAGCCAATAACAGGGCATTCTGCCATTCCTAAGTGCTAGGCATCCAGAGTGAGACAGGGACAGACTCTCGTCTGAGGCAGGCAGCCCCCACCCCCCCTCTGCCCCCAGCACCAGAAGAAGGGTGATTTTCTCACATTAACAGCCCAAACCTCAGAGTGGTCATGACATTCGTGGGAGACCATGGAAGTAAATTCCAAGTAGGGTGGCTGGCCCTCTGCCAGTGTTAGCGTTTTCACTTCCTGACACCTCACTTCTGAAGCCTGTCCCCAGGGCTAGGTACTGCTTCCTCTGAGATTCTCTAGTTGGTCTGCTCGTTTCAGGCCGCCCCCCCAGAGGTAACATTGTCTCCCTTCAGAGTAGCCAGCCCTTTCATCAGCCCTTTCATCCGAGGTCCCCAGGGGCAGGTGGTTCTGTGCATCAGGGGAGTCACAGCTGCATCTGCTCTAGGGCATGCCCCTCCCTTCTTTCAAAATGTACACTTTATACGCTAGGCACAGTGGGAGATTTAAAGGTGAGCTAGGCCCAGCCAGTGTGGCTCAGTGGTTGAGTGTCGACCTATCAACCAGGAGGTCAATGGTTCGATTCCCGGTCAGGGCACATGCCCAGGTTGTGGCCTCAATCCCCAGTGTGGGTTGTGCAGGAGGCAGCCGATCAATGATTCTCTCTCATCATTGATGCTTCTATCTCTCCCTCCCTCTCCCTTCCTCTCTGAAATCAATAGAAATATATTAAAAACAAAGGTGAGTCAGCAACAGGTGGTGCCAGAGATCTCAGACCATCCAGCTCCCATTTACTAAGCGTTTTCTATGTGCCTGGCGTCATGCTGAGCAAATGATACGGTCTCATTTAACGGGAAATGGCACTGTTATTCCCATATTATGGGTGAGAAAGATGAGGCTTAGAGAGGTTAAGTGACATTTCTAAGGTCACACAGCTACTAAGAGCTAGGTTTTGAATCTAGCACACTGTCACCAGAACCCACCCCTACCACTCACTCTGCCATCCACACACAGCACACCGTACCCGGGAAGGTGGTGTGGGACAGGGACCACCCCAGGGGCAGGGAATGGCTACAGACTAAGGCTGGCTTGGTCAACCAAGGGTGATTTTAACCCCCACTCATTTCCCTTTGCTAGAGCACCTGTGGCAATATCTGAAGGCATTTTTGGTTATCACAGTTGGGGAGGTGGGGGATGCTCTGGTGGACAGAGACCAGGGACGCTGCTAAACTTCCTGTGATGCACAGGACAGCCCCCACAGCCAGACATTCTGTCAAGAGTGTGCTGAGGTGCCCTAACCGGTTTGGCTCAGTGGATAGAGCGTCGGCCTATGGACTCAAGGGTCCCAGGTTCGATTCCGGTCAAGGACATGTACCTTGGTTGTGGGCACATCCCCAGTAGGGGGTGTGCAGGAGGCAGCTGATCGATGTTTCTCTCGCATCGATGTTTCTAACTCTCTATCCCTCTCCCTTCCTCTCTGTAAAAATTCAATAAAATATATTAAAAAAAAAAAAAAAAGAGTGTGCTGAGGCTGAGAAGCCCTGCCATAGGCCACTGAGGCAGAAGACAGTCTGGGAAGAGCACTGGTCAAGGTGAACAAGGTCGGACTCTGTCTCGGCTGCTAACTGAGTCTTATCTCCCCCTCTGTGGGCCTCAGTGTCCCAACTCTAACCACAAGCATATTCAGGGCACAGCAAGGGTGGACAGGTGGGGTGGGGATACGTTTGTCTGGACTGTGGGCGGAAGGTCCAGCTGCAAGAGGCTGGATAATCCTAGGCTGTGACCTCAGAGTGGGCAATCAGAGGGGAAACTTCTCCCCCTACTTCTTACTCCCTGGGGTTTGCTGGGAAGGTCAGCTTCCTTTCTCTCTCTCTTTTTCTTCTTTATTATTTAGCTTCCTTTCTTATTTTAAAATTTTTTTCTTTCTTTTGATTTCTTCACCTTCTTTTATTTCTTTTTCTTCTAGTATTTTTTATTAACTTCAGAGAGGAAAAGAGAGAGATAGAGAAATCAATGATGAGAGAGAATCATTGATAGGCTGCCTCCTGCACGCCCCACACTGGGGATGGAGCCCACAACCCAGGCATGTACTCTTGACTGGAATCGAACCCGGGACCCTTCAGTCCGCAGGCTGACACTCTATCCACTGAGCCAAACCAGCTAGGGCGTCACCTTCCTTTCTTTGGAGTCCTCTCCCTTTTAGCTCTGGATCACAAAGAGAGCCTGGAATCCCTGGATTTCTGGGGCCCATCACACCTGGTTGGGCAGGCACACCCTAATCCCAAGGCTGGACCCAGGGGCAGCCCTGGCTAAGCCTTTCCTGGGCCAGTGGTGGGGGCCTGGCTCACCTGGGTGTGAGGTGCTGGGCCGCCGGGGCTCATGCCCAGAGCTTTCTTCAGCAGGAGGATCCTGAGCAGATCATGACTCAGCTGCAGTCTCTGGTCCCCCAGAGAGGCGTGGGGAGCTGTCTCCAGTAGGGATGAGCCGGGGGGCTCCAGACTCTTCTTGCCCATGAAGTGACCTAGAAAAGAGGTTCCGATAAAAAAAAAAAAAAAAGAGGTGCGACACAAGGAAGTCAGGGAGCAAGGATCCTATCACAGTGGGAAGCTCCCATCTCTCCCACCTTTTAGTTCTCATGGAAGGAACATACTCCTCACCAAGGAGCCGTAAAGACCCTTGTGGTGGCAAAGCCTGTGTCTCAACTTTTCCTGAACAGGTGGAGGGGGTGGAGAGGATGGCGCAGCTAGAAGGTGGGATGGGCCAGGGCCAGCTCTGCCAGTTGTGCTGCCTGCTTGGAAGTGGACAATGAGGAGGTTTCTGGACGGAGGAGGTGCAGGGGGAAGACAGAAGTTAGCAGAGTCGGTAGGTCTTGTTTAAACAGAAGAAGGGGCAGAGGTCTGAGGCAGATGGAGCACCCAGCTCAGCCTTGTTTGAAACTAGCTGAGTGATCTCAGTCACTCTCTCACCTGCCTGGGTCTCAAGTTCCCCATCTGAATTAGAGGAGTTCCAGGGTCCCCACCAGCCCAGGCACTGATGTCTGTGGCTGCGGGGCGGCCAGAGAAGGAAAAGGGGATGAGAACATGCTGGTGAGGGGCGCTTGCCCGGGTCCCAGAGACTCACCGGTGGCCCAGAGGTTGCCCCGCGGGTGCACGCGGATTTTGCCGGCCCGGCTGCGGGGCTCCCGGAGGTCCCAGCTGAGTGAGGCGGCGCTGGCAGCC